GAATGATTGAACTCTGCAAACCAGTAATCTACATGCCGATTCAGTTTTCTATCCAGGATCAACATAAAGCTTCTGACTGATCTTTTTAGGATTTTTCAAATTTTCCAAGAAGCTGTCTTCTTGAAAGCAGAATTCTCTTGCTAGAGATAGGGACAAAGATACTAATAGACTTAAGTTGCCTTTTTGCTGGTAACTTCTCTTTTTATACAACATTTGATGAGGGAATACAAACCCTACAAGCTGCAATCATCCTGATCACTTATGGGAAACTAGAAAATTTCCTTAGTGAAAACTAATTTTACTAATTTCAACAAGACTAATTGTTATTAGTATTGGTTTTATCATTACCATTTTTACTCCCAAATGCCTAGCAGCTAATTGAAGGCAATGTGTGTCATATTCTTTACTTCTGCTAATCTTGAAATCCTAAGAAGAAATAAAAAAACACACCATCCCCTCTCAATGTCTGTGGAGATTCTCAGTCATCCTAGTCATGGTTACTTTTTCAAGAGGCACTGGACTTTCTGGTTTTTCTTTGAAGAAGTTTCGCTTCTCATCCAAGAAGTTCCTGGTTGAGAATGAAATATCTTCAAAGGAGACTCAGGAAGTCCAACTGCCTCTTGAAAAAGCACCTTTGGGACATTCCCTCTAAAGTTGCTGAAGATTAAACAGCAACAAGATCCCTACATACACACACAATAAGCAAAAACAAGGTTAAAAAAATACTTCAACACTTTGAATTTTGCAAATACCATTTGGAAAGAGAAGGAGAAACCTGTCAAGAATTCACCTGTTCCAGTGAAGTTCCAAAGACAAAAGCAATTCCAGCATTTCCCTTACAGGATTCTATCTTCCTTGGTTCTCTAACAGCCTGGCATTTGCAAAAGTTGCAAGAGGTTCAGCACAGGTCACCATGCATACCCCAAAACCTCTTCCAATACTACCAACTAGTACAAAGTTGGGAAGAGACTCACATAGATGCACAGCACTCAGAAAATGTTCACAAAGTAATAGGTGTGTGCAACAAAACAGAAGTGTTTAAGCTAAATTATTGGAAAAGGACAATAAATATCTTACAGTAAGGGTTTTGCGCCTACTGCAGAAAGTATAGAAGAATTTTCACAGGGGATGCTGTACAAAGAATACAATTACACTTCTATATAACCACTGATTTTGCTTTCAAATGCACAGTAATCTTTCCACAATTCTCAAATACCCTCATTATTGTTGATCCAGAATTTCATAAAAATACCAGGATTTCGCCACCCCAGCTCCATTTCCATCTTGTTTCTTTATTATTGTGAGGAAAAATCAAACTGGCTATTGCTTAGGGAACATGAATGATGTGCATCTTAAAAAATGGTCAAAATTGATGGAGAAGCTTTGTGAAGTGCCATGATTCTGGAGGGGACGGAATAGAAGGAACTAAGACAAGATGTGAGTTCCCACTGGAGATCTGCCACATAACCATAGTTGTAGAGGAAATATAAGCAATCCTCAACTGACAGGCTTTTGTCACCACTGACATAACTGAAAAAGTGACTTTACAACTAGCCTTTGCAATTACAACATTTGCAGCATCAAAATGTGATGAAAATATGGGCACTTGGCAACTGGCATGTCTTTATGCTTAATAACTGTGTTGATTCAGTTAAAGACTGCTGCAAAAAGGATCCAAAAATCACGTATGAATCACTTAATGACCAGATCATTACAGAATGCAAATTCTGGTCTCAATTATGGTTGTAAGTTAAGAACTACTAGTATCTGCACTGCAAAACAGATTAGCAGCATTTTCTTTGAAGAAGGAGGTGAGCTGGAAGTCAATCAACTAAGTTGCAGAAGGGAAAGAGAGAGGATCCCCAGAAAAACACAGTAACATGACTAGAGGACCATTCTAGAACCAGTGGTGAGCATAGTACTTAAGTCACTAGGGTATAAAATCCCATTCTACAGATCAGCTAATACAAAGGATGCTGATACATGAACCAACTGAATTCTGATTTTAACTTCCACATGTCTTGTATTTTGCATTGGACTCTAACTCTGCTCCTCTAATGAAAAGAAAAATATAGAAATCAAAACCCACAACATAGATAAAACATAGATAACTCTATTTTAATGGCTTATCCAAAAAAGATGAACTCAATATCCCTAGTAGCTTGAAGTGTGAGAAGTCAAAAGAGGTATATCTCCAACCTGTCTAGACTCCAGACAACAGGCACGAAGAGATTATACTGTCAATTCAGGTATTTCAAGTGTCTGTCAGATCACTCAGAATGAGAAAAAATTGTATGTATATATTTCAGAACACCCACACCCAAATCCAGATAATAAATAAATAAAGAAAATAAAGTCCTGCCAGTGCCGTAGCAGAAATTTGAGTGTAATGACTTCAGACAGTTTAGCAATTATGATAACGATACACCAAGATGTTTTGCAGTCATTTGCAAGCCAAAGCGGCTCCCACGAAAGCACGCAAAAGCCAAAAATATGAGTCATGCTCAAGCAATTTTGCTATGGGCCATAAAATCACTTTGTGTAAGTTAAAGCTAAATCTGTATATATTCTATAATATTTCCCTACTGTGGAGAGGCGGAGATATCAGTATACTATCACAGATAATGACAAAAAACAAATTCTGTCTATAAAAGCTGATTGCTGCACAAGTCACCCTTAACTGTTCCAGGAACAGTAATGCAGATGGTATACTTTATGCTGCATTCAGCAACAAAGAGACATGGTCCATCAAGCACACACCACACTGACTTCAATTTTAGCCTATTGTAGGGAAGAATTCAGAACTGCGCTGCCACATGGTTTATTCCATTTGCTAATTTCTATTATACTTACTGTTCACTCTACAGCTTACTGCTTTTTTATGACCAATTTCAGATTTTATTTCATCCTTACCTAGCATGCACATTTAAGCACAGCATTATGGCCCATTTTATTTATTATTAGTAAGAAAGATAATAAAATGAAAAATACCCCAAAAGGATTATGTAATATCACGGCTCATATATGGCTAAGAAACCATTTCTGCAAATCTGTTTCCTACAATGTAGAGAAAGCATTTTTTCCCACTTCAATATCCATATGGACTCTGGCGATAACTGTGGTGACTTGCTATATGAACACCTATAGATTACATACAATGAAGTGCTGGAATGGCTAAAAAAGCATCTATTTTGGTGAACCTTTGGATTAGAACACCAACATTTCTGACTTTTCTACATTACTCTTTGAGCAATCTCATTATATAATTAGAATTATATGAGTATGAGCAAAGAAAACTTAAAACAGTATTATCTCTCCATTCAACAATTATTTAAGTGATTACATTAAAAAAAAAGACAGACCTAATAATTTTGATATAGTGTCACAGCTATTTATTATTTCAGATTTTTTTTTCACGTTAACTTTTGGTGATTTGAGATTAAGTTAGTAAAAGTGTGAAAGTTTTATCTTATTATGAACAATATGGAAGACTGTTTAGAGGGGATTTTTCAGACAGCATGTGAAAGAAAAATAAAATAAAATTTCTCTCCATTTTGCAGTCTAGAGGCCACTGAATGGATCTCCCTATTTCAGTTATTAGAGAACAAAGTTTCTACTGACTACATTATTAATCCAACCAAATTAAGTTCTGAATGTATTGCCCATAGAAAGAAGATAAGGGGCATTGTTTCGATAATTTTCTAAGCATATTTAGAAATAGTTGCAACTATTCAAATAAAAATAATAATTTCCCCATGATAATAGACAATTAATTGGTTTATCTTTTTACCTACTTTTGTCAGCTGTTCAGATGTTAATGGTTACCTTCTAATGATTCATTCTATATTTATAAATGCAATCAATCAATAAATTCTTTATCTTTGCTTAACTTTGGATATATAACCAATAGTAATTCTGGCCTGGAAGGTCTGGAGTTATACCTTAAGATATCGAAATTAGCTGTGGAAGCCAAATATTTTGACACAGCTAGACTAGTTGGGAAAGCCAAATGTAAGCCAAAATTATCTTCTGCAAAATAGGACACAAGGATACTGTGTCCCAAATGCTTATAGAACATGTAGAATCCATTATTTCTAGAACCTTGCAGAAAGAAAGACTAAAATTAAGCAGTAAGTCTTTCCAAGAAGCTGATTACCCTGGCTGTAATTTATTTTATAGAATTAAAAGGAAGCACTTTTTTCAGTGCACTATCTTTTGAGCTTGGTGTAAAACGTAGAAGTTCAGCTGGGGAAAGAACCTATTTTAAAATATTAATGAACTATTTTTATTGCGTAATTCTGAATGAATGAAATCAAGGTGTTACATACATTCTAAAATGAAATCAATGGCAAGAAATAGGAATCAAGTTAACAGCATCAATAATTAACTATGAACATATTAGCATCCGTTTTAAATGTGCCAGGTATTTCTATTGAAATTATCTTAGTAACTGTAGCATACAGGAACATTCCAAGTACTTGTATACTGCAAACTGAAGTTCCTCTGGTTTCACAAAAGGACTTATTTCACATTGCATCAGATAATTATGCCTCTGAAATGATACACTAATTTAACTCCAATATTAGGATCTAGGTCAAGCCTCTTTTAACTCAAACTCAACTCCTGATAATTACATGAGCACCTCCACGTAACCTGCTTGGCAGTAGGGTTTGCTATTGCCTTCTTCGTGGTTATTTATCTTTTTTCACTTCACATTCTAGCCCTTTGCCATTCCTTGGTGGCCTCTTATCTCATAAGTGCTTGCAGGGTGTCATGAAAATAAGGCAACAAAAATTTAGGTTGCAAGTATAAAAGGATTATGTTTCTGATCTTGTGTCATCATGGGCATTATTACCTTTCAATCATTATGGCTTCCTGCATTAAAAAAATTCTATTCAAATGTTAAGTAGGCTCTTTTTAGCTTCCCAGACTAGCAGAGTTGACTGCATGAACATTCTTTGAAAACCTATTACAAAACATTTTAAAAGACGATTAAGTACCTCTCCAACATCATAAATCCAGATCCGTCCTTCAGAGTCGCCAACTGCTACTTCTTTCCCAGCCTGACTCCAACGGACACGGTTGAGGGCAGCAGCTCCTTCAATGGTCACACTAGCTGTTGGAACCTATTGAAGATATTATTCTAATATGGATGAGGACATTTATAAAACAAGTTTGTAGGAAGGAATTCATTGTCTTTTACATGAAGAATATGAAAAGGAAAGGAATAGCGGAGGAAAACCAAACTTTTAAATAGCAAAAAGGCTTATGGACAATACATAAAGACCAAGGGACACAAATGTTGAAGTTGGGGTTTTTTTTAATCCAAGCTTGAAACATGCTAAAACCAGCCCTGCTTTTTTCCCCTGTGTGGCCTAATAGAAGATCAAAAGATGACTAGCAAAGACTAATGAGCTTACATGTGGTACCAAGCTTAAATTGAAAACTGAGAGATCCTATCCTTGTAGGTTTTATATAAACATTTTACTGACCTCAAGCAATTAGTTTAGAGGACACAGGATGAGGTCAGAAATAAACAAACAAACAAAAAAGAGGACTAAAAATGGGGCATTAATAACTTTCATGTTATTTTTTTTACTTTTAATAGGAGCTATGAACCTATAATATGAAATCTGAGGACTGATGTTGAATCAACTGGTTTCTGAATTTAAATCAGTTGAGATGAAATTCATGTACCAGGTGGAATACCATCTGAATCGTCATGTACACATAATTTCCACTGCTTTATGAAATCAAACTATTCAGTAACAAGCAAACAAATAAGTAAATATCATAGAAATGTATTCAAATTTTAGCTCATAGGTTCGTTAGTAAGATAATTTTGAGCAAGATCTACTCAATTTCTTACCAGCCAATAGTCATTGGCAGGATTCTACAACCCTCAACCTAATAGCAAACATTAAGATAAAGGAAAGGATTGTAAACTGGACACAATCAACTTTGATGTTCTCTTTTATAGGATGGAAGCTTTGTGTTTCTTCCTGAAACTTTGCCTTGCTTATCAGAAATAAGGTCAGCCTGCTTCAATTGGCAGATTTACACCTCACCCCACCCGCTCAAAAAAAGAATTTATGAAGTATCAACTTTACTGGTGAGATTATTTTCAACCAAATTTGTACAAATAAAAAAAAACTTCTTAATATTTTCAACAGAAAATATGACTCCTTGCTTAAAAAATAAGTCAAGGCATTTTAATTTTTTCAGGTGTCAATGCTTGCTAAATATTTGACAAATAACACTTCTACAACTAAGAAACAATTTTATTGGTATAAATTTGCATTTAAAATCACACAAATATAACTAGAGTATATATGAAGACCATCTCATGGAGTTTCTTTGATAAGTGAATTAAGAGGTTACAAAAATACTTTTTCAGAAGTCCCCAACCAGAGTTGGAATATTATCTTTAGGATCAACATTGTCTTCTCCAAAACATCTCATTAAAACTTTTTAATTTTCCAAGGTTTTTCTATTTGTTGTGTTTAATGTCACATGTATTAATTGCTTGTGCACTGCTAAAATGCAGGCTGGGGAATTCTGGGGAGTTGGGCCATATATCTTAAAGATGCCAAGTTTCTTTCCCTTCCCTTCCATCATTTATATTTATATACATACATACATACATACATACATGCATGCATGCATGCATGCATGCATACCTGAAACAATTTCAAGATAATTGTAATTGTATGGAATAATTGTATGAAGTTGCCAAATACAGCCTTCACTGATTCTGTTGAATTGTTTTATGCTACAATGCAGACATTTCGGTTCTTTGGTCCTGCTGACTACGAATTCTATTATCGGTAGTGCCAACACATCTGGAAAGCACCAGATTCAGAAAATTGTTATAAATTATACTGTATTACACTTATAGCCATCTAAGATTTGTCACAAACGTTTTAAGGTTGTGAGTCTTGTTCCCTTTCCAAGAGGCGATGGTTCATTTTATCAAGCTTAATATACCTGAACTATAATGTTCATGTTTTGGTGTCAACTTTTCGTCTTTGCATTGTTTTGATAGTCTTACTAATTTGTATTTCTTACTGCTCTTGCTATCAAAACAATATCTTCTTCATCATTATCTATTTTGAATATTTAAGGGAAAAGCAGAATAGAAATGTTGAAACTAAATTAATTAAACTATGAACTTGGAAAATTGCTATGTTATTGTCCCAAGAGTTCGACACTGCAGCTTCTTCCAAGCATTACAGCAAGAAACCTTTCCAAGACCTTTTCGTAAATACCACAAATATTTAAGGCCCATTTTATACCAACCATGTATACATATATAATCTGTTCCTAATTAGCTTTGCCATTATTTACTTGAATTTCTCAAAGCAACTTCTAGGAACAAAGGTCCTATGACCTGTCATTTCAAGTTATGCTATGGCTCAGTAGATTCACTGTACTCAACTGAGAATCCATATTGCATATCTTTGTTACAATAAAAACACACAATGTGGCATCTTACAAGTTATATATTGCCAACACTCTTGTCTGTAACTGAGTTGCATCAAAATATTTAATTTAAGCTGATTAATAACTTCATCCCAAACTTGTGGAAAAACAAGTTCAATTTAAATCACTGGGAACTGAAGTGGAAGACTAGTGTTAAGATTTTCGAAATTCCCAATGATTTAAACTGGAAATTTGAAAATTGTAATACCAGTTCTATAGAAATGTCTGGTTTTTTACCACAAAATTATAATGTTAACCAACTTACCTCCCAATAATTTTGCTTGTTTATTAAACAGATTATCTATTAAAGCTGTGGTGTTGCAACCATGTTATTAGTCTAAGATAAATCTATGTAACAAATCAGCTTTTTCTGTGATAGACATGTAGAACTAAAATCCAAATTATTAAACTAAGGGTTTGATTCAAACTAGGGCTTTTTAAAATTTTATTGGGAGTTATCTAAGTTTAGGACTGGCTTTGCTTTATCTCTTAAAATGGTGCCCAATGTACTTAACACTGCCTGGATTGTGGCCCAATACTTCTCAGGGAATAAAACCATTGTTTTGTACAGTTTTAAATTGCCAGGCAAAGGATCAAAAAGAAAATCGCTTTCAGTTGTTAAAGCATTTTCTCCTTGGTTGCTACTGTGGGTCTCTGATTAGTTTTTACTGGCAACATGCTTGTGTTGAATTTATTCCTGCTGATGTCCTAACGGGGAGGGGGAAAATGGGGGGGGGGGGGAGATCCTGACATTTCTTCATGCAACATACACTAGTAGTCCAAATTAAACAAATGAGAGTAAAGTAAATCCTATCGCTATATTCTTGTTCAATTTCACAAGCTCTTTTCCCCTGATCAAAGAAAAATTTCAACATTCTACGTAAAGAAGACTAGCTGTGTCAATTAAAATGGGGACACATTTCTTCCCATTCATTTTAAAAGCAACAAGATTTGCTCTTAAGAAATTTTAGAATATTGATAGTCAAATTTCTTAACAATAACATCTGTAAAGATGTGTTCCCTCTTCCCAATTGTCCCCTTACCTCAAAGTAAAAACTGAAAGGGAAAAAATCCTCCCAATTCAGCTACTTTATAATTAAGCTGCCTCTGAAATTTCCTGCTAAGAGCACTTCAAAAGATCTACAGTCTCTACTTGACAAGCCAGTTTTCAGCATTTGTCCTTCCTTACCTGTCTTATATGATATACAGCCAAATCGGTAAAAATGTGTATTTTCTTTCTACTATGAAATACATTATAGTGATGTGAAAGGAAGACTAAATAAAAAGTGGAGAAAAAGAAAATCAATAACATATTGCTTTTGCTATGTTGGCTGACTTAATTCTGTGCTATATCTCCACTTATACATAAAATTTTTCTCATCTGCCCACTTCACGTACCATCCAATTTATTAAAATTTGTCTTGCCTTAACAGTTCCTGCCTCACACATGAATCGTACCGATGCATACTCTGCATTGATTTTCTATTCTTGCTAATACAGCTATTCTTCTGTAGCTACAAAAATGAACTATGTTATCATTATTACTTACTTTCATATAGCTGGTTTATAGGCCTATTGCTTTATTCTGTATTACCTCATTGTTATCTTACAATTCTGTCAGAATTTCAGCTACAGAATACTTCAAAAATGCACTGATGTTAGTTCGTATGAGGTAATAGTTATCAGTACTCAAGTTCAAACCTTGGTTGTGGCATTGTTTCTGAATGGCAAGATTGTTCTTGAAAAAAAAATGAAGTAAAAGATTCAAGAGACCATTTCTGTAAAAATAAAGAATACGTACTCTTATTTCACAATGGGGAAAGAGGAAAAAAACTGCACATCTTTTGAATTCAGAATAAAATAACATGAGACAAAATAATAAAGGACAGCAAAAACAACCACAGCAAAAATATTGATTTTCATGAACCAAATGTATCTTCTCAAATTCTCCCTTTTTATTATCTCCCATTTCAGCTCTTTCATGCTAAATACGCATCAATCTTTTCTCTATCTGTTTCCTCTTTTTATATTTCTGGCTGCTACTGGAATGGAAATCTTTGCTATTACATTTCAAAAATTTAATTGCAAGAGAAGCCTTGCAAAGGAAAAAGTGTGTGTGCTTCGAAAGAGAAAATATATACTAATAAAAGGGTGAAATATCTCAAAATATTTATTTAGAACATGTCTAACCCACATCTCGGTTTAAAAACAGAAGACTCTCACAGCAGAACATAAATAGGAACTAAATAATAGTGGCAACTTGAAGTATAAGAATGATACTTCAATGACTTAAACTACAATATACTTTACAGAAGCACTTGTTTGCTAAACATGAATTCAGAATATCTCAAGAATATTTCATTTATTAATTTTACTTTTGCAATAAAGCAAGGTTTTATTGTGGTAAGCCTTGTCACAATAAATGTAAAATGATAATATATCTGCCTTTATCAGGCTATGTACATGCCTGATAGTTATGTACATAGTTTCCTGAGAAATCACCTCCAAATAGCAAATGAACTTTACAAAAGTGAGGCTTTCTCCTGGTTTACTTTTCAGAACAAAACTATTAAGTAATAAATATCCTAGCTTAGTTCATATCTTTAAATGTAATATTGTGAAAGAGAAGTTCAGAATAGACAGAAAACCCTTAAGAGTCTGCAAGCAAAGAATTTTTTTCCCATGCATTCTTTTCCTCAAGAAAAATCTGAGAAAAAGTGGTTCTTTCAAGTCTAACTTGTCTTAACTAACGACTGGTATTCCACCTGGGTCTGCTAGTTGGTTTTCTATAAAAGAACACTAGAAAAATATAACTCATTTATTATAATAAGTGAACATCCTTCTGCTGCATGTGTAAATCAGACCTAATGCAGGATGCTACCCAGGATTTGCACAGAAATTGTAATCTGAAGTAATATTATACTTAATATTAGGTATGTTCACTGCCTTGAGTTATATATAAATAATGAAGGATAAAAATCTAATCTTAAAATGCTTCATGTTTTTAAAATAGATAATTTAAAATATATATTTTTAAAAATAGTTGGGGGAAAAAACACTATAAATCCATTTACTATAAAAGATACAATATTTTATTGAAATTCTCGGCTTATTTTCTCTATTAATCACTATAAATCTACATTTCTTCAGAAGCAATTTTTCCTCTGCTTGTGTATATTAATATTAAAATGATGTAATTCACATCATTTTATCACTCTACTCCTGGCTTTAGCGCTTCCATGTATTTTTATTTTCCCCATATTACTATGAAGCTTAGAGGAAGTTCACACATTGCACTAAATCAAAGTTTATCATAGTTTATTGAATGGAAAAAAGTGGCTGGATTCATGTAATACGCTATGCGATAAACTATAATTTGCAAATCACAATAGCTAGGTTCATAAAGCCACAGTAAAATTATCCAGAATCAGGATTGCTACTTAATACTGCAGTACAAAATACTACTAGAAAAGTAGTAATAGCCAAAATTCAAACAGAGCTGCACATACAAGCATCCATATCCAGGAAGATGCCCCACTGAACTCAGCGGGCTAAATACTGAGTAAATAATTCAATAGAACCAGACAGTACTTATACTTAAAATGATAGCTAATATAAATTCCAGAGAATTTAACAAAATTTGATCTCTGCCAAATTATCTTTAAACCCAACTTTCTACAGGTTTAGCAAGCTTTCAGGCCTACTCAATTTAATGAACATGTTAACAAAGTGAGGAAAGGACTGAAACCATGCAACCTTTGCTCAAATTCTTTTGTTATGAAAAGAACATAATTGTGGAGATTTTTTTCAGGACATTGTTTTTTACAATGTAATGTTATACACGGTCACTCAGAAATACATATCCCAGAATTCTTGGATTGAATTCATCCACTGAACAAAACAATAGTTTTGCCTAATCAGTGTATACAACTCAAATGAGCTATCTTCAAATACACAGACTTGAGATTTCCAGCATTCCCAGTGAAGAATGCCAAGTGGAGAGAATTGTAAAAGATGCTCTACCAATGTCCAGGTTAAGCAAATCCGGTTTCCTGAATAATTACACCTGGCTGGGTTATCACCATGTTAAGCTATGGATTGTAAACCAAAATGGCTGAGTTATTATTGTAGCACAATATTAAGCTAAAAAAAAGCAAGCTGTTATGTCTTAATATATTGAATCAGACACTTGAATTATGCATGCAAAGAACTTGTTAACAAGTTTCTTTTTAATCCATGATCCTATATAAACTTGTGCAGTAAAGTAGAAAAATATTAAAGGAAATTTGTCAGAATGCATTCTGCATTTAACACAACCACAAATGTCATCATGTAAAACAATTAAATTACAGTTAATCAATTTACTCTGAAGATCTCTGCTTGTGTTTCTGGATCAGAAAATGAGAACTGTGTTCTTGAATATTTGACCATAGTTAATCCTGCTATTTACACAAGAACATAAAGCCTAGAAAAAAATCTTCTTTATAACATAGAAAAGCATGGTTAAATAGGGGGTGGGGATTATTACAAAACTAGTTATTCACCTATCCCCAAAAAATCACTTTTTGCTGCCATCTATAAACAGATAAAAGTGAGGCTATAGATGCCAGTTTACACTTCCCATCATTTTCAGTATAGCCTTCCTGGCTGGGAATGAAGGGAAATGTAGCCCACCACAAACGGGAAGTTACCCTAAAGGAATCTGGCACAGTCGAGTGGGAGGAGTAGGTACTGTCGCCCATTAGACGCCAGCCCCTCTGCAGAAGAGGACAGCTGCCTTCACGTGGCGCACCGGGCCTCGTGTGGTGATAATAATCGAGTATCAGTGGCAATGTTTTTCCACAAATCAGCAAAAGCGACTGTGCAACCGGGGGGTCTTCTCCTACACTTCTGGTAGATTTTCAGGCTTTTCGATTTGCCAGAGAGAAAGAAAAAAAAAAGAATAAAGGGTGAAAGGAGTGTTTAATTTAGACACCGTGCATAGAGAGACCAGTGAAAACGCTTCCTGCGAGGAAGACTACGGCTGGACTTCTCCCTGAAAGCCTAAGGCGTGGGAATCTGTGGCAGCTTTGGGTAGGGACATGGAGCAGGCAAGAAGAGGGAAAAGTCCACTCCTCCCTCAAATGAATACACTGCACAAGCCACGAACAGGCTTAGTCTGAGGAGGGCAACGCAGCCCACTTCTCTTCCCCGCTTTCTTTGCAAAAGTTTTTTTAAAAGAAAGAATAGGCAATAAAGTCGCCAGCTCCCTCCTCTCCCAAGCCCCGATCCTCTCCCCGCCTCACCTCGGTGTCATTATTCAGGTTCCAGAGATCCAATCGGCCCATCCCGTCGACGCAGGCGAAGAGCGCGGGGTGCACGGGGGACCACATGACGTCGTAGACATAGTCGGCATTGTCTTCAAAGGAGTAGAGCGGCTTGTTGTGCTGCAAAAGGGGGGGCAAAAAAGCAGAGGGGAAGGGCAGGAAGACTTCGTGGCGCTACTGCCGCCTCGGGCTGTCTGGAGAGTCTAATTAAAAACTTTGCACATTCAACCGAGTGTCATAAAACTTTCCGCAGATGAAAGGTCCGAGGACGCAGAAGGCGGGCCTGCGGCGGCGCGCTCTCAGGGAGCAGCCACCGGGGTGGGGGTGGGGGTAAGCGAACGAGAAATTATTGGGAAGGGGAACTATTTCCCAGACTTTGCATACTGTATAAATAAAGGGGTGCTGCTGCTACTTGCTACTACACCGCCGAGGAAGTAGGGGAACGCTACCCGTAGTTTATGCTATAGGATCGACTAGACGGCTACTCGGAAAATCTTTTCTCGTTCCCTCTTTCACATAAGCTCCCGAGTACACACAGAAGTCTCCGGAGAGGCTCCCGCTTTGCAAGCGAAGACGGTGACTGCCACCTAGTGCTCCTTGCGCAAAGTCGCAAATAGCGCAAACAGCTTGCGCTAAATTCCCAAGCCCAGCACAAATTTTTTCTATTCCTCGCCCCCTCCTCATCAGCTAAATTAATGCCTGAACTCGGTCCCCTAAAAGTTGTTCTCTGTACCATCGCCCTACGCTAATAGAACTGCCTAATCGAAATGCATCGCCTTAATTTCAAGCGTTTCTTTTGTTCTCCCCGTTTTTCCTTTTGAAAGAGCAATGAGTCTAGATGGGTTTACAAATCTCACACACCCCCAAACTTCGTGTTTTGAGATTCTCATTTCAGAAAAGAGGTGGCGAAGTTCAGAGCGTGCAGCTGCCAAGAGTGTGGCGCTGCCGCTTGACTTTTACGAGTTTACGCATCATTTCATTTCACAATAGACAGGCGGGCAAGACAAGTTTAAAAGTACATGGGAACTGTAACATATAATTGGGTGTCATGAATAATTCATTATACTTACTTGCTTCTCCTTATTCTCATTTCTGAATAATGGCTTTGCGTAATTCCCAAACAGTTAACAGTAAAATAACATTTAAATGACAATGAAAGTTCCAGAAACTAAAGAAATTAAATATTCTTATTATCCAACACAGAAATCTAAACAACAGGACTTTTACATGTATGCAGATTAATGGGTGAATATTTGTGTATATCTGAATATGAATGCATAAATATACTTGAAAATTTGGGGAAATTTCAATATTAAAGTTATGAGGATTTAACACTTTTTTATAAGATGGAATTGATCATGAATCAAATATTCAGACATAGGACTGAACCTTTTTAAGTATGACCAGTTTTTCAATAGTTGTTTAGTGTCAGAAGTGTTTTAGGGCAGCTATGGAATACCTGTCGCCTTCCTGATGTCAGCAAGCTACAATTTACATTTCTACTATTTAAGGTGAGAAATGCAAGAAGTTGTAGTTTCACATCTCAATGACCACAATTCTCAGTATGATCTAAAAAATTTTTAGGATGTTCTTCATTTTGGTAGACAATTAACCTTATAGGAATTGAGTTGCATAAAATATCTAGCCAGACCAGACATTTTAGGATATTTAGATATGGACACAGTGACTAAGACGGTGAGCTTGTCGATCAGAAAGGTCGGCAGTTCGGCAGTTTGAATCCCTGGTGCAGCATAATGGAGTAAGCTCCCGTTATTTGTACCAGTTTCTGCCAACCTAGCAGTTCGAAAGCACATGAAAATGCAAGTAGAAAAATAGGAGCCACCTTTGATGGGAAGGTAACAGCGTTCCATGGACTTTGGCGTTTAGTCATGCCGGCCACATGACCACAGAGACATATTTGGACAGCGCTGGCTGAGACTAGCCTTTCTCAATCTGATATTTTCCACAAATGTTAGACTAGGGTTTCCATCAACATTGGCAAGGAAGTTATGAGATATTGTCTAAGACTTTTAGAGACTGTATCGAAAGCTGACCTCTGAAATAGTCCTTTTCTCAAAGGTTCTGCATGAAACTTACTGTGCAAATGCCTTGGGTCATACATGGCTTTTAAAAAGACCCTCCCCCCTTGTTGGTTACTTCCCATAATTTTTCCATTGCTCTTTTTCATATCTGAGAAAGAACATTAAAACCAAAAAGTAAAAGAACAGATGGGTGGGCGGAGGATAGACTACATGGTACCTATCATTCTTAAAATAGAATAATAAAATAGAAGGAAAATAGGACTTCTTTGTTTCTTTAATGAATTTTCATTTTGCTTGCCTTTTTTATTTTCAATTTTCTTCCCAAAGGCAGCAACTCATCAGATGATGTTTAGAATTGTCAAATGATGATGTTATAAAATCTAGATGGAAACTGAGCTCATGAAGAAGAATTTTAAAATATTGCTCAGTGTTTTCTCCCAATGTTTAAACTATGTATCTTATAGGAGAACACATTGCATTATAAACATCCATAATCCATCCACTCACTTAAGTCTTCTGTTAAATCCTGCTTCTTTTATTCAGACAATCATAGATGAATAATAACTTTTCATGTGAAGTAATAGGATTTGACATAATTCTGGTGGCTTTAGAATGAGGTTAATATGATCAGCTTCTTAAGTACTGCATGTGAAGATACAAGTTACAAAACAGGCTCTGTTTAGGTCTTTCCCCAATAGGAGAGCTGCCATGTAAATGCCAGAGTTAGCATGCTCATTCTATAAGGTTTTCTAGCAATTTTTGATAAACCCCTTATTTTGATGGCCTACCTCAAAGAATAGTATGTACACAGAAAGATGAAAATAAAAACTTGCATCTAGCGGTAAAGTTTCAGCTGCCTCCCTGGTGTATCTGCATGGATGATCTTTCTTAATCCAGGAGGCGCCATTCGTTAAGAACTTCACTACTTAAAGGAAATCATGTGGACATGTTCACAGGTTTTAACTAGCATTTAACTGCTTAAAAGCTAAACAAAATCTATCAGATTTGTTTGTTTCATGAGACAAGTCATTTCATAGAAAGAATAATTTAAACACATTTATGAATTGTTTTTCCAGCTTGCGAATTTTTTTTACTGTACTTATCGGAGAGCCATATTGTTTTCACTTTGCCTTCATTTGGACAAATGTTAATGGAGATTCTCAGTCATCCAGGTCATGATTCCCCAGGGTGCTTTTCCAACAAACAACTGGACTTTCTGGTTGTTCTTTGAGGGCGTTTCATTTCTCTTCCAAAAAGCTTCTTCAGCCCTGACTGGATAGTAGGGAATGGAAGGATTTATGCTCCTTGCAGACATCTGGTCATTTGTATTCTTTTAGCAAGTTATTAGGGCCACCTGGAGGTTTATCTGTGTCCTCACAGTCACCTGACTAGTGCAAATGGGTGTGGAGCCGTCTTGGAACTGTTGAAAGGACTTTGTTGTAAACTGGACTGGAGATGGATTATGTTGTATACCTCTCCCCATTCAATTTTGACATAGATGTCCTCTTTGATCTGTCTTTCAAACCAGCGGTCCTCTTTGTCCAAAATGTGGACTTTGCTGTCTTCAAAAAAGTAACCTTTCACAAATGTCTTCAAAGAAAAACCAGAAAGCCCAGTTGCCTCTTGAAAAAGCACTTTAGAGAAATTCATTCGGACAGCACACTTAAAATGTTCCCCAAACGTTCTTAGGTTTATTGAGTTGCTTTTTTGAGTGATTTTTTGTATCACTCTAAATTGGAATTTTTCCTAAACAAGATTCCCTGAAACTGTTCTGGTAAATGATGGAGATGTCTAGCAAACAATTGTTAGTCTTCTCCAAAAATCAAGCAAGTTCCAGAATATTGATTATAATTAGTGTTCAAACTGCTACAAGTAGTTTGTACAATGTACAGCCATAATTAAGCCTGCAATTTTGGTCATAAGTGGAGATGGTCATAAAACGGTTACCAAGTGATCACATCCGACTTTACAATCTTTACTATGGTGGTCATTAAGTGAGACATTGCCCATTGCCATGTGTTCAAAATACAATAACATGACCTTAAGGTGGGGCCCAGATGTTAGAACCTAGCATCCAAATCATAAGTAGCTTTTTGGAGTGCATTATAACCAGTGGTAGGTTTAAATTTATTTTACTACCTGTTTGCTCATGCGCGCACGTGCACAGAAGTGTCTGGGTGGGTGGGTATAGTTTCCCACCGCCGCCACTACCGGTTCACCCAAACCGGAGCGAACTGGCAGAAACTCACCTCCGATTGTAACTGAACAGTTGCACAGAACTACCTGTACAAATTTGAAGTTGCCAATGTCATTTCAATTATATTTCTTCTAAATTGTGTATGCAGTTAAGTACATTACCCCACTTTCTCATTCCTGCATCCCCCGCAAAACTCCTGAGAACACTTGCTAATAATATTTAACAAAAGAGAACATTTTCAAGAACTAGAGTTTTTCAAGATTTATAGTGCTGAGGCGCTCTTTAAGCTTAATAAGGCACTTCATTTGGGGCCAGGTAAACACTAATTCTAATGTTGGTAGGTATGAGTGGCTATGAGAGAAGGGCTGAAAAAAGTGCTTTTTGAATTTGTTCCATTCTTTCTTTAAAAACTGTCATACTTCTCTATTTCTTGAAATTTATGCTTGAAGAATGAAGGAAAGACAGCAAAAGAATATATAAAGGTTATGGTTGTCTTATCTTCATCTGTTGCAGAAAAAAGACAACAGGTTCAAAGGGCAAGAAAGAGGGACAGATATCTGGCATTCTTCTGGACTATCCATCATTAGCCTTTCCAGATTAGAAAAAATACAAAGGCAGCAGAAAGCACATTGAAGGTAGTTGCCATTGTAAGAGAAAAGGTGTGGCTTGTCATTTTCAACTCAAAATGCTCCATTGGTAAAATCAGTTCCTATGCAAGATTGTATAGCACTTTCTTGATTATCTCCAAAACAAATATCTTTGCTTGAAGTACTCTTTTTCATTTATATAACCTTTGTCAAATGCAATAATTATTATCCTTGGGAAAAATTCTGAAAAATGGAAGATGAATCACACAATTAAGATAGTGCTACACAAATGAGGTTGTATTAGCTTTTTACTTAGTACATGATATGAAATTATATCCACCTTTGATAATAGTAAGAAGTACCAACTTCTTGTCTTTGCTTTGCAAGGAACTCATATATTCTGATAAAGTTAAAGAGGAAGCCGAATAACGGGGGGCTTTGTTTTCAAACTAGAACAGCCATTGTGTCTTATTTCCAATAGCTCCTAGTGCAACCTGACACTTTTGTTTTGTACCTGGCAAAGTTTTATTTAATATGCTGTGTAATCCTGTGCATATTTACTCAGAAGAAATATCCATTACTGTCTAGTATATCGGACTTCAGTCCTAAACTTCACTTGCATGGACACTTATAGTATTTATTCTAATTCCTCACAACTTCTTTTTAACATTCATCCAGAACAAGAATATTAGGTAACCTGAAAAATTACTCATCTTTGGTCATTTCTAAAAAAAAAAAAAAAAAACCCTCTACTTTGGAATAATCTAACCCTCCAGATCTTCAACACTTAAGGACTCTTTGTAAATTTCTATCACATACTATGAGCTATTTTGTATGTTATTTATATCTTCCTTGATAAGTTTGGACTTTGTGTTGGTTTCAGAGCAAGACTATTGCAGGCTTACTACAAAATTGTTATGAGGAGTTTGCTTTATTGTTTATGTCCTGATTTACATCCTAATGTACGAAACCTGTACTACTTGCATGTGGAAATTATATAAGAAAGGCAAGACAAGGAGTCCAAGATAACATAATAATTAAGTTTTCTGGTTTCTTCTAACATCAGTCCAGCATAGTTAAATTTATAAAAAGTAATCAATAAAAAGAAGAAATTGTTTCCACATTAGATTTACAATGCAATGTTATTTATTTTTATTCAGGAAAAGAGCCCAAGCATCAATCATTCCTACTAATCTCTTGGAATACCAATAAATTCTTAGTCATGCAAACAACACCTTTTATTAATTCATAAATAAACAAGAGCATGGCTGAGACTCCTGTTTCCTGACAATACTGACATCTATGATAATTTTTTCTCAGTTGCCATATATATTTAATTTGTATTGTTATTAGTTAAGAAGTCGTGTCCAACCAATCACGACCCCATGGACAATGTTCCTCCAGGCCTTCCTGTTCTCTGCCATCCTCTGGAGTTGATTTAAGCTCACGCCTACTGCTTTGGGGACTCCATCCAGCCACCTATCATACTTTAATTTTTAAAACTATTTTGTGATTGTTTGCCATTCAGAGCCACTTGCTTAAGATGGCTGGCTATCTAAAATGAATGAAAGAACGAACAAATGAATGAAGAATGAATGAATGTGAGATCTTATGTTTTGAACCATTGTTGGTCTTTACAACTGTACTTGAAAGGGTCATTTTACTAATACAATCCACTTTTCTTAATAATAGACTCAGCTTCCATGAAATGAATTGTGTGTGTGTGTGTGTGTGTGTGTGTGTGTGTGTGTGTTTGTTTGTAAAGGTGACAAAAATACTAATTGGAGGAGGATAATTTTTTTAAAATTGAATTTAACTTAATTTTTATAAATGTCATTGATTGTTCTAATATTTTTTTTAATTTCCTTCTTCAACAACCTTAAAAAGTGCTGTTCTTGGAGGAACATGGGATGAATCCACAAGTACATTTTTTAGA